TCAAGTTTAAAATGGAAAATGACTTTGGAAGTGGAATTATTCAAAGAGCAATGAGAATGAAAATTTATAACCATTGAGAGTTTGTTCATATATACATAGGTAATGGTGGGTATCTTTAGATTCTGTTAGAGGTAACAGTTTATTATTAAAGTATTGGCATTTACTTCTGATAAGTGCATCCATTGCAACTGATTATGAAATATTCTTGCTGACTTTAAAATGCAGGTGGGGTATATATATTTTCAGGTTTCTTGTAAGGGGTAGAAATGAAAAAATATTTGATACCCACTGGCTTATGATACGTGTTCTTCATCTACCTCTTTAGGTATTCTGTAGTATCCTTAATCATATGAAATCACTGGAAGGTTACACAATAATTAGACCCTTTCCGACTCACCTTTACTGAGTTGTTCTTTAAGACTTATGTTCTTGGTTTTTGTGGAAAGTCACTGAAAAAGCATTTGAAATCTGCTTAATATTTGTTGTGAAGTTGAGTGCCTTTATTAATTTTCTTCTAGATTTAATACCTGGACTTTGTTTGTTTTCCTCATTATTTGGTATGCGTTGTCCTTTTTGACCATGATATCTGTACAATTGAATGTTTCTCTTTTTGCCCAGGCCCCTTGAACATTCAGATCCACATTTCATACTCGGCTCTAGTATCACTATTGATCTTTTCAAAAGGATATCTGTTTTTCCCTTTTCCTTGATTTTCTGATTTTAAAAATTAATTTTTATTGTGTATTTGTCCTTTGGGAGTGTACAAAAGACATATCTCAGATACTTATTGGAAAGATGGGAAGTAAAATTTTTAAAAATAAGAAACATTTATCTTTATATTCATCCCTGCAACTAGGGGAATAAAATAGATTCTCAAGAAAAATATTTTCAACCTAATACATTATTATGAAATTTATTAAATTTTGATTTGAGGGATAGTCTGTACATAGATTTGTCAAAGGTTGGAAACTTAGCTTTGATATTGGAATGTGTTTACCAATTTAATTTTGTAACAAAGAATTTCTGCTTCACTTTTTCTTATATTGAAACAATAGCTTGCATGTACATCAACAGCTTTAATCTTGTCCCATAAAAAAGTGTTTGGCATTTAACCCTGAAGTTGATGGTAGATTGGTTCTTTTCATTCTAAACTGTAGAAAAACTCCAGACACACAACTGGGCATAAATTAATAGTGACTCAGGGCAGTCCTCAGGGTAGAGGTAATAGAATTTACTGTTTCTGTGACAGTTTCTGGGAAAACTTGTTAGTCCAGCTTTACAGATTACTCAACTTCTTATGCTATTGTTTTAGAATACTAAATTAAAGACATTTTGTTTTCTGTCATCAGAGCTTCTAGGCCAGTTAAAAGGAGAAAAAATATTAAAAACCAAAATAAGATTGAGTGAAGAATAATGCGGCACATTTTGGATAATGTCCCATTCTGTGCCGATGGGGAATGTCTTATTAGACAGTGGAAGTTAATTGTATATATTGAATATTTCAGCCAGGTTTTTCTTTTAATTTTTTTTACTGCACAAAAATATAAGTTAATGGAAAAACATCCCTCTTATCAGTGTAGCATCAATAGCATCAATATTGTAGCATCAATAGTTTGACACATTCCATGCTTCCTCACATTCCTTATGGATTCAGGATTCATAGTTTAGAACAGCTTAGAGTAGTTCCTGCTGCCTCCTGTCATCCTTGGTAACAATGAGAATCTCACAGACTTGAATATGTTTACGCATGCAGACAGCTGCAAATACTTCGGTGTGTCTACTGAAGTAGACAGGTAATGCCACCTTTGTTCTAATACCAGCAGAGTAAACCATTTTTTATCAAAGAACAGAGGCCAAGTGCAATGGCTCACACCTGTAATCCCGGCACTTTGGGAAGCCAAGGCGGGTGGATCACAAGGTCAAGAGGCCGAAACTATCCTGGCCAACATGGTGAAACCCCATCTCTACTAAATACAAAAATTAGCTGGGCGTGGTGGCGCATGCCTGTAGTCCCAGCTGCTCGGGAGGCTGAGGCAGGAGAATCGCTTGAACCTGGGAGGTGGATGTTGCAGTGAGCCGAGATCCTGCCACTGCACTCCAGCCTGATAACAGAGTGAGACTCCTCTCAAAAACAAAAACGTTAAATGCCAAACAAGGTATATCATTTAATAATACATACTGATTTTACCTAATTAGTGACAAGAAGTTCCCTGTAAGCATTTATGTGTGAAGCTGCTTTAGGATTGAATATTGTCTGCTGTCTTTAATAGGTTGGGTGACTTTAGGGCCTCCAAATGGTCTAGATGTCATAAATCAGAGGTGTTCAAACTTTCTTTGCATCACAGAATGACCAGAAGAGCATTTAAAATGCATATCCCTGAGCCTCACACTTTGTAGAGCTGGCAACTTTAGTGGTTACTTTGCAGCTTGTTGCCAAATTTACACATTATGTATTTTTTGAAAATCCATAAAGATAAAGCTAAATATCTGAGAAATAATACTATTAGAGTCATTTGAGATAAGCATAGTTTTTAAAGGTAAGCAGAGACATTGGGAGAAAAAATGAGATAAAGGAATGACAGGATTGCCCAATACAAACATAGAGGAGGGCTGTGTCATGTGGGGAGGGGTAGAGGTGAGGACGCATAGTGGATCTAAATAATACTGTAATTGTAACAATTGTCAGATTATTGTGAGGCTTACCTTTCTAGGCATGCTAATCTTTAAATAGAGGTCACAAACTCAGTGCCTACAGGCCCAGACAGGTAATGCAAATGTGAGTTGTTGAGGAGTGTTGCAGCAGTAGACCCTGAGGCCACTAATGGACAGCCATTACAATCAGTCCCAGCCTATTGTTGCCAAACCAAGTCCATATTTCTAGATCTTTCAGTTTTTAAAAGAAGCTAGAATTCTGGATTTTCTATGAAGACTCTAGATTTTTAGGTGCTGGCTTAGTTTATTAAAGGCACTAAAAACTGAACACTCATCTCTGGGTTGGGCTTGATCCACCTGCCACCAATTTGCAATCTTTGTTTTAGAGCTTCTCCAAGTGTGGTCCCCGGATTAGCAGTATCAGTATCACCTGAAACCTTAACAGAAACACAGATTCCTGGGCTCTGTCTCAAACCTGCCGAATGCCCAGTGCCAGGGATGAGACTCAGTCATCTGTGTTTTAACAAGCCTTCTGGGTGATTCTGATGCATGCTTACACTTGAGAACCACTATTTTGGAGCATGGAAGTTGAAACTGCAATTTCTATGTGGGGTTAGTATTAAAGATAGAAGTTCATCAAATATCCTGTAAATTTATCAAATTTATTTCTGTATCAAAAATAGATGTTTTTTTGTTTTCAGGTATATATAACTTTTCATCTTTTTTGCCAGAATCAGAACACACAATAATTGTGTTTTCTCCCTTTTCTTTCTTGTTAAGAGTATTGCAAATCAACTTAATAGCAGTTCTGTGCCACGTTTTGACCTCACTGGAACACATCTTAGACTTTATTTATTGGTTGATTAAAACTAGATAAAGAAGTGATGTGGCTTTCAGCTTCAATGTTAAGTCTCCTTTAAAAGTATTAAATATAATATTCAGTAAGTCCTCACTTAATGTTGATAGGTTCTTGGAAACTGACTTAGCCAAATGATGTATAATGAAACCTATTTACTCTAACTGATATAAACAAAAATTAAGTTCCCATGGCATATTTCTGGTCACAAAACATCTCAAACTTATAAATAAAGACCAAAACACTTCTAATGATAAACATTGAAATTAATGTGAGCTCTATGCACGTTTAAGAAAGATTATTCACCCACTGATTCCAGTTCAGGGTCGTGGGTGGCCAGAGTCTCTTTCAGCAACTCAGGGTACCAGGTGGGACCCCACCCTGGACAGGACCCCATCCCATCACAGGTCACACTCATACTTGCTCAGGCAGGGACCATGGGGATGAACCACTGAACGTAAAGTACACTCACCTTCCCAAGGTGAGAGGAAACAGGAGTAGGTAGAGAAAACCCAAACAGACCTGGGGAGAACATGCTAACTTCACACAGATGGGCTTATGCTGGGAATGGATTATTTTTTTTCTCATCGTTATAACAAAATGACATTGAACAAAATGACATTATTCAAAGACCTATGATATATTAAGAATAAGGAATACTTTCTTATCACATTTTTCTAAATTGAGTTCTGTTTGCTGGAATTAGAATTTCCATTTCTACTTACCTACTTTTATATGAAAGAGGTTAATTTATGTGGTTTTATGTAAGTCTGGCCTCCTAACTGCTGATCAAGTTGTTTATATTTTAATGCCCAAGTATATCAATATCTTCCTCCATTTGCAGAATGTAGAAATGTTTGCTATCCTGATTGTTATCCTTAAAGTTCTTCCCTGGGTGTGGTGGCTCATGCCTGTAATCCCAGCACTTTGGGAGGCTGAGGCCTGCAGATTGCTTGAGTCCAGGAATTTGAGACCAGCCTGGCAATGTAGGGAGACCCCATCTCTACAAAAAATACAAAAATTAGCCTAGTGTGGTGGCACGTGCTTATAGTCCCAGCTACTCGAGAGGCTGAGGTGGGAGGATTGCTTGATCCCAGGAGGTCGAGGCTGCTGTGAGCCATGATCATGCCACTGTGCTCCAGCCTGGGCAACATTGAGACCCTGTCTCTAAACAAACCCCAAAGTTCTTTTTTTGTATAAACCAACAGTAAACACTTGTCCATTTAAAAGTTTTTAGTACCTTGCTAATCAGATATGAACTTTATATTGAGAATATTCTTACACTTAAAAGTATACAAAAAGCTTTTTATTTATTTTGAGGAAACTTCATGCATGTATTACATATTAAGTGCTTTAAATGTACTTTGGAGTATTTAAAATGCTGTAGTAGACTGAGAAGTTTGAAACAATTTGATTTAAAGTAATAGATTTTTGAACTAGAAGTCATCTGACTGTATTAATATTTTAAATAAAAATACGTTTCTATTCACAGGGTAAACCAGACTTGAATACAACATTGCCAATTAGACAAACAGCGTCAATTTTCAAACAACCAGTAACCAAAGTCACAAATCATCCTAGTAATAAAGTGAAATCAGACCCACAACGAATGAATGAACAGCCACGTCAGGTAAGGATCTAATTCATTCTCCAATCTTATTTTTCGAAAAATACCAGTATTTTTACCAGACATAATTCAAATAAATTCTGGTTAAAATGGAGCATATTTGGAAAGAAAATTGTTTTATGTCCTTGGCTATTACATGAATGCTGGAGTATGCAAAATTTAGGTTAAATGTTTTAAGAGAAAATATAAGTTAATTAAGAATGAATCTAATTAATATTACGGACTAAATTTTTAGGCTTTTCGTGTGGTCATATACATCAGACTTGGCTCTGTCAATCTTAGTTTTTTAAAGATTATCTTTCCAAGGATAATATTTCATAGAAGAATAAAGCATGTAATTTGTGTTGCTTAGTTTAAAAATATTTTCTATTATTTGGAAGCTAAAACTACTTTTTATTCTGATTTCTTATTTCGTGAAATCTGTCCCACCCCTTTTGAAAAACAGAATTAGATAAACTTTGTCAATATGGTATATTGTCCTGTGACTTCCATTTTTGTACAAATTTAATTAATTTTTCTCTTTCTTTATTGCTTCAAGCTGTATTCCACCAGAATCTTTTCTTAGAAAAAAAAGCATTACATGAAAGGCCTCCCTGCTGCCTAATAATGCCATATAGCCCGGGGAGGGAGACTGGACAAAATGCTTAAACCTTCCAAGTAATCTTGCTTATTCACTCCCTAATTGTGGTCATAAAGCCTAGGTAGTTCATGAATTTTTAGTAGCAATTGGGGTGAGGGAGTGGAGGGAGAAACATCTGTGCATTTTTTTTCCTCTCCTTTCTCTGCCTCCTCCCACCTGAGTCCACCTAAGGATTAGAAACACTGATTTACCTACGACGATTATCTTTTGCTCTCGTATTCCCCTTTTAGATGTCTCACTCCACCTTTTCATTTGAATTTTGTTTTTCACTAGTCCTCCAAGGGTCTCATCTCCAGACTTCATAAAGGATTGGGCCAAAACTTTCAGACAGTTGCTCTAGAAGAAACTACATAAAGAAATTCAGTTCCCACATCCTCTGTAGTGTTTTTTCCTCTTCAGGTGAGCCAGGAAAACAGAAGATATTTGGAGCCACATTGGATCAGCATCTTGCTATAGATGTCTCAAGATTTGAAGTTCTAAACTTGCTTTACTGTTGGTCCCCAAGAGATTCAACAGGGGCCATGTAAGTGTATCACATCCAACATAAAAGATGCGTACCTGCATGTGCCTTTAGGCTCTTGTCACCACTTAGGTTTTCTTTGGGCCATTCAGCTTTCTGTGTGAGGCTTTTCCCTTCTGTTTTACTCCCACACCCAGTGATAGTCACCAAACCACCGGAAGTTGCAGTATATTCATTACAACAGGGAAGGAATTCTGCCATTCTGAACTTTGGCCACCTTGATAAAGCCATTCCCTGGTTGTATTCTTTCTCAGATACTATCTAAAGTCTTGAACATCTTGTCCTTTGACTTTTTGGTGATTTTAAAAATCATTTCCCCGCAAAGGTATTTATTAATTGAAAATTTTGAAAGTATGTAATTGGGTAAAACAGATTTGCTCCAAAAATTCTGAAAGATGAAGGTGGAATGTAATCTTTAACTTAAAATGTTCCACGTTGGAAATTTGAGTTGCCTTACTGAGATCAGACAGTATTTAATAGATTTTATCCTCATCTTTTCTTGCCAAATCATTCTCAATGTAGTCAATAAACCCAAATGTTTTATTTAAACATCAATTGATTAGCAAATTCTGGCCATTTTAACAGTAATTTATTTTCTGCACCTAAATTCAGTCACAGTTAAAAAAAAACTCTAGTATTTATTTACTGGGTGTTTATCTGGCTATAAAGATATTGGTAACTTAGAAGTTTAAAGTTGAAGTAACCAGACTAGTTGCTCCTTGTTCTTTGGTATGTTGAATAGTTTTAAATTTTCTGTCTTTTATTATGGTGTATGAGATTATTCTCAAATGAAAGGTATGTGTCCAAAACGCTAAAGTTCCATCTCCTCTGTCTCTCCCCAGAAGCTTATGTCATTTCAATCCAGATCTTTTCAGGGTTTAATCTTCCTCTTAGCTTGCATAGACAGGAAGTGTTAAAATTATTTATCGGGCCACTTCTCCAAAAGCTTTGGCTGTTTTTCACTTTATCCTTATGGTACCTGACAATTTTTGTTGGATGCTTTTGATTATGCTAAGACATTAGTTGTCTTTTATCTTTCTTTATCTTCAATGTAAGAATTGAGGTAATATTTGACCGCTGTCTCACAAATAGGACGGTACATTGGGTAGAATATAGGAAAAAATAATACAAAGACAATTTTCATGTTAATGTTTTAAAAATCATGATCTGTTGTCCCAAGTATTCCAGTTTAGATTCAGTTAGTTAGTAAAGGGAAGATGTTGGTTTTAATTCTATTTTGATATACCTATGGCAGATGACTGTTAATCAGCTATTGTTATTGAGGAGATAGTTGGCAAAATATACATAGGCAAAAGTGATTCTTCCAGTTTTGCTATCCATTACTTGGATTCATTGACTCAGTTGGTAATATAAATTGCCAAACATTCCATTTGGAGAAGTTATTTTTATCATAGAGTAAATGAATTAGACAATGAGGTTTCTATTTTTGAGGTTTGATAGATAGACATATTTTTATTCTTTATACCAAATTCTTTTAATAAGATGCTCAAGATAGTGGTATTGTAATTCCTTTTAAAGTGTTGAATTTTGAGGCCTGTAACTAGGATGAGGTTTCTGAATCTTAACTAGGCTCTACCGTGAAAAGATCTGAAATGTTTAGTTTACATGAGAAGCAATCATTAAAAATAATAATTCTGTCTTTTATAACCAACATCCTATGCCCAGGTCATTTATATGGCAGCCTAATTTGAGCCTAATTTGAAGTCTATAAAATACATAAATTATGAATTTTTAATGTATTGACTCCTTGAAAATGCCTTAGCTTTAAAAGTGCAAATTAGGGTATGTAAAGAAAAGTATTAAACAGAATTCAGCAGTGAGTTCTACTTATAATTAAAATTATAAGGTAGTGATGGAATTTGTAAAACCTAGTTATAATAGGGTAGTAGGCAGCCATTTTTGTATATAGCATCAGAGTATTTGATGATTGCTTGTCTTTTCTTTAGATTAAAAAGACCTCTGTAGTAGGGAGGAGGGAACTCTACCAGTTATCAGACTATTATCCCAAACAGTAATCATTGAGATATCTTTATTCAGCTAGATGTATAAAACACATCTCAAGATATTTTTCGTCTAATTGAGTTGTAATTTTTGCTGGTAACAATGCCTTTTCTAGTTTACCCACTGCATAATATGAAGAACTATCATTTCTGTTTCTTACTTTTTTGCTGCTATCATCTTTGATACTATCTAGTCTCTTGATTGCTTCTTTTTCTCTTTTAGCCTCAAACCAAAGAAGTTTCATCTTTGAACTATTACTTCTTACTTTTAATTATTAGATTATAGAGGACTAATAGGCTTTTGGTGTTTTTGACAGTCTTTGAATATTAATTACGTTTCTTACAGAATATTCACTTTTTTTGTAGGACTAATTGTTTAATCGTGAAAAAGCAGATTTGAATCTTCCACTTGATCTTAGATTTTTTTCCTTTTATTTCAGTTTGCCAATTCTCATTTCAATGATATGAAACTTTCCTTTACCCACTTCCAGAAGCTGGCCTTTTCTTTTAGAAGGAATTAAATGTATTAGAAGAAAGCTTCCTGATGAAAGATAAATTTTTAAAATGTGCATTTTATATGAAAAATGCATAAAATAGTTCAGCTTTCAATTGCCAAAACCCAGAGGGCTACTATTTCAGGCATTCTAGCAACATTTACTTGTTTCTAATCTCTAACAGTTATTTCTAGTACATTCTCATTATAATGTTCTTAATGAATGACAAATAGATAGGCTAAAGCACAGAGTCTCATGGAGGATATTATATTCCTTTGCTCTGGACAGAAAAATTGGCTGCCTGGACAGAGAAGATAGAGGATGTGTCCTATAACACTTAAAAATATTACTCTGGGTAATGTTGGAAAGATGCCATATACAAAGTGCCAAATGAATAGTAGACTAATACAGGCAGGTGCTATAGGTGTTCAAGAAAAGTGAGGTTACTGTTGCTAGGAGGCTTGAAGAAATCTTTAGAAAAGGCATGAGATATATGCTGGACATATTTTTAAAATGTAAAAAATATTTTGTAACAATATTTTATGTTTCCTTGGGCTAGATTCCCAGAAATATAATTAGTGTGAATATTTACATTTTTGATACATACTAGGAAATTGGTTTCCAAAGGGTTATACCAAGTTAAAAGACTATCAAGAAGTTACGTTCATTCCAATTTCAGCTTACCTTCTATAGCAGCAGTCCCCAACATTTTTGGCAACAGGGACTGGTTTCATGGAAGACAATGTTTCCATGGACGAGATGAGGGGGAGGGGGATGGTTTTCGGATGAAACCATTCCACCTCAGATCATCAGGCTTTAGATTTTTATGAGGAGGGTGCAAACTAGATCCCTCACATGCACAGATCACAATGGGGTTCGTGCCCCTGTGAGAATCTAATGCTGCCACTGATCAGACAGGAGACGGAGCCAAAGTGGTAATGCTTTACCTTCTGCTGTGCTGCCCAGCTCCTCACAGGCTATGGATCGGCACCTGTCTGTGGACTGGGGGTTGAGGACCACTTTTCTATAGCTTTGAGTATTATTGTACTTGTTTTTGGGGAGCTGGGTAATTCAGTAGTTTAAAAGGGTATTTTATTTTAAATTCATATTTTAATATGTAGAAAATTAAATAGACTGAGGCATTTGTGTTAAAATTTGAAAATGAGAAACATTTAGATAATTTTTAACTAGGGAGTAGCTTTTATATTATCCATCTGAAATGAACTTAAAGGTATCTCCTGGTGGCAAAAGCTATTCCAACATCTGTACTCTGCAGATGCACTCCTTCCTTCCTTCTCAGAGACCTCATCCAATGGAGTATGTCAGTT